ATTTTGAATATTCTGATTTTTCTCATCATAAAAACAAAATGGTTTCCTTTAATTATTTTATTGCTATTATAAATTATAAATTTGAACTAATTATAAAATATCAAAATATAGCATACTTTAAATTAATGAAATTGCAAAACTCTACTGTGTAAGCATTTTTTAAAAGCAAAAAATAGAAAGTTAATTAAGAATATACTTAAATAAGTTTCTACCTAAATTAATCCTGAACCTTCTAGAGAAAATTTAAGAATTAAAAAAAAATTCATCCTTTTCATAAATTAAAAGTAACTTAGTTGAAATTAAAAAAAAAAATTGAAAACCTATACAAAATAATTTCTACGAATGAACTCAAACTTAAATTAATTACGAAAATTTGTTGAACTAAGTCCAACTTAAAAAAATAAATATAGTACACCACAAGACATAGAAATGGTAAACAATAAAATTCAAAATCTAGCTTAAGCAGTAATTATTTCAAACGCACACGAATCTTATATGGTTTTTGAAATTTACTACATGTTTTCATCGGTAATATTATACTTATAGTTGCACAACATTAAGATGAAAGTTTTACATCACTATTGTTTCAGGATGTCAAGGGACCACAAATTGTTGCCTTCAATCTACCAAACGATGAACGTATAGTAAAAGATCGAGGAACAGCAATGGTGATGCTTAAGAATGTTTCAGAGGCGAAGTAAAATTTCTAATTTTTGTTCACGTTAAAACTTGCAGATCTTCATTTGTTTTTTCTTCATATTTTTATGAATGAGCAGTTAATGTTGGCAAACACATGGAAATTCTGAACAGGTTCGAGCGTATTCTTCAACCAATAGCAGAGCACTGCGTGGCAAAGGAGCTACAAGAATTTGTAGATTTTGAATCATATTTTACCCATACAATTTGCCATGAATGCGTCCACGGGATTGGACCTCATTCTATAACACTCCCAAATGGTCAGAAGAGTACTGTGCGATTGGTGAGTTTAATTAATTATATGCCATTTCTAAGTGACAAATTTCATTAATAGTTTTGGAAACTTTTACGGTAAAATTATATATGATGGTGGAATTAGTGCAGACAATTAACTTCATTTTTATTTTTTTCTGCATAAAATTACAAGTGTCGATATATACTAGTAGGGATCATTCTTAGATGGCATAGTATGAATGTAGCATTCATGACAATATCTTATCTCTCCGTATAGGAATTGCAAGAATATCATTCAGCTATGGAGGAAGCAAAAGCTGATATAGTTGGTCTCTGGGCATTGAGGTTCCTAATCTCTAAGGTTAGTTATTAAATATACCATTTTTCTCTTTTGACAGAAAAAGAAAAAGATTACAGAAAGGTTAGGGAATTCAGAATTGGAAAGTTTAGATCCTTATAGTAAAACCAAAAATTAATATGCTTGGTAATTACTGTAAACTTGAAAACAGGCTGTGATTGATACAGTGATTAATGTGGGGTGTCATGTATTTTATGGTGATCAGGGTTTGCTTTCTGAAAGTTTATTGAAGTCCATGTACGTTTCTTTTCTGGCTGGGTGCTTTCGGTCAGTTCGTTTTGGTTTAGAGGAAGCTCATGGGTAATTAAGTTATATGCAAAATGCTTGCTCTCTCTACTATTTTTTGGTTACTTATTTTTCTGAGCCAATTCCATTTCATGCATATTGTCAGAAAAGGACAAGCATTGATATTCAACTGGTTATATGAGAAAGGAGCCTTTTTCCCACACTCTCAAGACACAGTTTCTGTTGACTTTTCCAAGGTATTGTTGCTCCAAAACCTTATTACATCATCATCTATACTTCTCTTTTTCCTTGGATTCTTCTATTAACAAGACATTACATTATATATATATATATATATATATATATATATATATATATATATATATATATTAATATAATTATATATATATATGCATAATGAGACCTCAACTTTCTTTATCAAAAACCTTAAAACAAAGAATGAATGGATCTTTATCTTTTTATTTATTTATATTCAATATGAAATTTAGACTCATCCTTAAAATTCTAACCATATGTTTAATTGAAAAAGTCATTTCCTAAATTACATCCATTTTAGTAAAATAAACCTATAATCTTGACAAAATAATTTTACATATAATAATTAATTATGTATTTGTTGTTCAAGACTGAAAGTGCAGTTGAAAGCTTGAGTAGGGAAATACTGACCACACAAGCCAAAGGTGATAAGGCGGCTGCTGGTTCGCTTCTCCAAAAATATGGTGTCATTTCAGAGCCACTCAAACTTGCTCTCCAAAAGTTGGAGAACGTTCAGGTACTACTTTATGCCGAACTTTTCATAATGGTTGGTGTAAAAGTATTTTACACACGCAATTAATGAAGAAAAATCATTATAAAGATCACTTTTAAAGTGGTTGTGACAAAAATAATGTGATTTTATAACATAGTTTATGTATAAAAAACATAAGAATATATAGTTAACAAGTAACTATTTATATTTTAGAACAAGCTTATCATGGTGAGAGATTGATATACCTCGTATTTCGGATTAAAAAGGATTGTAAAAATTTATAAGTGTTGTTTTTATGATCGAAACAGGTACCAGTTGACATAGCTCCAAACTTTCCCGTTGCCAAGAAAATATTGCAGTGAAGATTGGAGAATGAAGATGCAAAGAAGTATATGCTTGTCGTAATTATCTGTGTTACCTCTTTTGATTCGATGAAATAATGGAGCTATCTCCTCTCTTTTCTATTCATAAAATAATGTACTTTTATATTTTGTTTATGTATGTTTGTTGATGCTTTGAAATGGACAACAATAGAATAAATGTGCCATTTGTCTGTTATGGATAAGAATTTATATTTATTCTAAAATGTTATTATCTTATTTATATTTTGTCAGTTAATATATAATTTTAGAATAAAAATTATAAAAATTAAATGTATAACTTTTGAAAGGGTATTATTTATTTTATTTTGTGCGTGAAAGAAAAATCTTATTTTGATATTTATGTAATTATATTTTTTTATATTTGACATTAAAGAAAAATATATATTTTTTAATATTAAATATTTAATAATATCATATTTTTTATACTGTGATTTTAATTTTTTATTAATTTAGTTAATATTTGAAACTATAAAGAATTTGACATAGGTACAAATACATGTATGTTTCGGTTGCGAGGTCGAGTCACTTTAAACACCTTCATAATTTGTTCTTTGACGTCTTTCGGTCACGCTCTCCGGTTTTCTCTTTCGCTATCCCGTCCGGGGATGTACGTGTTAAAGATGCTCTGATGCTTAAGTAAGTATATAGTTCGTTTGGTAACTTTAGATCAGTAATAAATGCGCAGTAAATATCCATCACCTTCCTCTTACCTTTGACCTATATTTACAGTTTTCGCCATGGACTGAGATTAGTGAGATCTTAATCACGACCCAATTTCGGCCCAATGACTTTAATCGCTACTTACCTTAATCTTTGTATCAATGACTATAGGATCTCTACGGCCGTTCATCCTTGACCGTCTGGTCAGATTAGTCATACAGTAGTTCTATGGTTGTCCGACTAGATTAGTCACATGATAATTCTATGGTCGTCCAGCCCATATGGTACAATGTATATTTTTCTCTTGTAAGTATGAAGATTGGTACAATGTATATTTGTTCTTTTGTAAGTATGAAGATGAGAAAAAAAAACATACATAGGATTGTAGAGTCATCCCTACATCCAATTCTTTCAAAACTCATACATAAAAATTTCCCATTTTCCTAAAATATATAACAAAAATGATTGAATTTAAAAAGAAACAGATAAATTTGTAACAACTTAACCAAAGAGAGATGGAAATTTTGAATTAAGTAAGACTTATTTGAAGTAATTAAAATGATGAAGACTATGGTACAATATTTCCAATGTATATCATGTGAAAAGTCACAAAATAATTAATAATTTGTTTCCATTATATCTCTGTTTATTTACTTTTATTTGAAAAATAGTGTGACATAAAAAGTTTTTAAAATGCTTCTTGAAAGGTTTCCCTCTCTAATAACAATTCCAAATGAGGTTTATATATATTATGTATAGCGAAAATATATAAATTACATGTATTTGCATTTATATTATATTAAAAAATATGTGATTTTATTATTTTTATGAGTAATAATTTAAAAAAGAAATATTATATGTACATAATCTTGTAAAGTTAATATTAAAAAATTATGTAGTTGTTACTAAAAGAAATTAATATTTTAAAATATAAAAAAGTTATTTAACCATTCATTTTATTAAATAAATTAATACATTATTTTTTATTTATTATATATTACATACTATAGGTGTGATGTAATAAAAGGGAAAAGAAAAATAAAAATAAAAGTGAGATGTAAGAAAGCAAATTTATGATATAATCCTTGTACCAACTTTTACACTTTGTTTACTTGAATGAATTTGGAAAAGAATGATTGAATGAATTTGAGAGAATTTGAAGATAAATTTTTTGTTGTTTATTTGAGTGAATTTGGAAGTAAGTGAGAGTGAATATGTAAGTAAATTTTTTTAATCTGTCACATCAATCAAATCTTACCCTAATTTTTACAAATTTTACTTTCAAATTTACTCTCACTTATTTCTAAATCCATTTAAATAAATAACAAAAAATTTAGTCTCAAATTCATTCAATCACCTCCCCTAAATTCATTCAAATGAGCATTGACAGAGTTTACATTAGGTCAAAATGTTATAATTAATAATCATTGTGTGATTATTTTTACTTAATAAGATTAATGTCTCAACGTATCAGTATTTAATTGAAATTTTGTCAACGTGTCCATATTTCTAAGAGTTTAATTATTATTGTGTGAATATTTAAAATTAAATTATCTATAAAATAAATAATCTAAATTTCACTTAATAACAGTGTTAATACTATCTATATTTTCTACTAGACCAGCATGTTTATTTTAATAATAAAATATTAATTTTGGTTATTATGTGGACAGAAATGGGATGAAGTGAGCTATTTTCATCATCGTCTTCTCTGCTCTTCAGTTCACTCAAAATGGCTACCTTAGCGGTAGCAACAACCTATTCACTTTCTTCTTCTTCTATCGCTCCCCTTAAAGCGCGATGCCGTTTTGGTTTTCGTTTTGGTTCCTTTCTTTCTTCCCACACAAAGCTAAAATGCTCCTCAATCGCCACCACAACCACAGTCGCTGTCGCCACCGACCCTACGGTTTCGGTCAACCCCAACTCCAACCCTAATCGGGTTATTCTGCCTTCTAACGAATCATCCGATAGTCTTCTCAGAATCCGCCACACGGTAATGGGAAAGCCAATTCTGTGGTTACTGGGTCTTTTTGTATTCTTTCACTTTCAAGTTATTATTCAACAAGCTGCAGCCTATGTAGACAATTTCATATGCAACAAACTTATAATAACAAAATAATATCAGAGGAATATCTAGAATTTGAAATTATTGTTTTAATTGTTGTCCTATTATCATGGAGATGATATGTTTGTTGTTAACGTTCCTGTACAGTGTGCACATGTGATGGCAATGGCTGTTCAAAAGCTATACCCCGATGCAAAAGTCACAATTGGGCCTTGGATAGAAAATGGGTTTTATTACGACTTCGATATGGAGCCTTTGACCGATAAAGATTTGAAGAGAATCAAGAAAGAGATGGTAGGCAGAGTCAGTCCATTAAATCTTTATGTTTTGGGATCTTGCATTTTTCTTTTCATGCTTTGCAACTCTGCACAGAACTGCTGAAGGGGAACGCAAATGTTTGTCATATGTAGGATCGGATTATTGGAAGAAATTTACCTCTTCTAAGAGAAGAAGTCTCAAGAGACGAAGCTCAGAGAAGAATATCGGCATTGAATGAACCATACAAATTGGAGATTTTGGAAAACATTAAGGAGGATACCATCACCATATATCATATTGGTAGTGTTCTTGCTCTTTTCTGTTTTTTCAATTCCCTCTTGATGAAACTTGGAGTAAAAGGGTGAGAGAAGATAGACTTTAGCGGTGAAAAAATGGTGACCACGGGCACTTAATTCATGAATGTTATGCACTATGCATGTTTATGCTACACATTCGAGTGAAAAAATAGATAAAAATTGGTGTGTGGACGGACAGGATAACTTCATGATAACTAGACTTTGTGTGTGTATGTGTGTCTATTTGTACTTGTCATTCGAGTGGAGCATAAATTATTATACTTTGAAACTCTCACTCTTCTTTTGGTGTGTATGTATTAATCTTGCCCAAATTGTTTATGATGTAATCTGCCCTTATTAAAAAGAATAAGTTAACAGATCCATACATCACATATGGTCTTTAGTATTAAACTCTAAGGAAGAGAGAAACATTGAGTTGAAACTGTGTGTTTTTTATTAAACACAAATGGTTTATTCATATTGAGAAAAAATTACCGATACAATAAATAAAAAATATTTGATATTCCCTAATAACAAAGATATGATATGAGAATAATTAAAAACATTCCTAATAATACATATATGTTTGATATTCTTGATTATGAAGGATCAATTAACTATTTCTATAATCATTACACTCCCACTCAAGCTAGAGTGGATGAGTTGTATATGCCTATCTTGTTGCAAATATAATCAATCCTCGGTCCTTAAAGATTTTGGTGAATATGTAGCTAATTGTTCATTAGAGTTGACAAATCTAGAGGTGATGTCTAGAAACTTCAATTTTTGTTTTATGAAATGGCAATACATCTTAATATGTTTGGTTCTCTCATGAAAGACTATGTTAGAGGCAATGTATAATGTTGCCTAGTTGTCACGTACAAGGTGCATTTGGAAAGTTTCTTCAAATTTATGTTATTTAAGGAGTTCTTTTAGCCATATGAGCTCACAAGTGACTAATACCATCTCCCTGTTTTATGCTTTTGCATTTGATCTTGCTACAACATGTTTTTCTTAATTTCTCACGATATTAAATTACCTCCAATTACCTTGAAGTGTAGTGTCTATCGCTTGGTGACCCTACCCAGTTAGCATTAGAACACTTAACAATTTGAGTATTTCCCGTACCTTCATAAATGAGGTTCTTTTTGGGAGTTTTCGTAATATACTTTAGGATCTGCTCAACTGCATCCCAATGATCTTGACAAGGAGAATTTAAAATTTGACTTACTATGTTCACTATAATGGCAATGTCAAAACTAGTCATATTGAGGTTCTTTAGCTTACTAACTAACCTTTTGTATCTCCAGGGATCAAAACATGATTCTCCATGGTTAAGTACAAATTTGACACTTGGATCCATTAGTGTGTCCATATCATCCCTGCTTCTTCCAATATGTTGAGAGCATATTTTCTTTGAGATATGGCCAAACCATCCTTGGATTGCACCACTTCTATACCTAGGAAATACCTTACGTGTCCATAATCTTTTATTTAGATCTTTTTAGCAATACATTGTTTTAGTTGTGCGATGCCCTCCTTAGGGAGAACAATGTTGTACACATATGCATTCTTAGGGAGAATGATATGGCATGATTTCTTGATTACATATTAGGACCTGCATAATCGACATATCACATTAAATGAAATCCGTAATCAACAAATTTAGGAGATTGCTCCATATAGATAATTATGATGACGATGCAGAAATGCATTTTTGATGTCAACTTGAAACAAAGTTCAGTGGAGAGTACCTACAATGGAAAAGGGAAGTCAAATATATGTCATTTTGGTAACAAGAGAGAAAGTATTAGTATTATTTCGGTCATATATTAGTGTGTTGTTGCAGGTGGGAGAAATATCCTCTTCTACATATATAATCTATATATTTTTTACTATATAGAATCAACTCCTTATTTATTTATTATAATAGGTAGAATTATGTCCTTGCTGAGATGGAAATGAAGTGAGAATAGGTCTCATTATGTGTACAACAAAATTTGTTAGACGTATTATTCCTGTAGCCATTACCAATCTCATAATCACCCACACTGGTGTCACTAGTGATTTGAGCCATAACACAATACTTTGATTCTCTGCTTGATCCTGCCACTGCATTTTATTAAATACCCATATTATAATATGGCAAGAATATGTTTCATATTATTTGCTTAAAGTTGGTAATTGTGCAATGTTTCTGTTTACCCTTAATCAATAAGAGAGTTAATTTTCTTAGCTTTCTCTAAACTACATGAACACTAAGCCTAAGTACTTAGAGCGCTGAACTTCTTCTGCATCTTTAACATGATCAATTAACATGCTTCAGCAGAATGAAAATGGACAGTGTAATGTGTTTGATATTGCAACTGTGAAGATGGAAGTGTAAAGTAGAATAGCAATGACGTGGCAAGGATGTGCACAGAGTGCTGCAGGTTTCAAATTGCATTAAAAAAGAAGTTTTTGCCTCGGGTGTATCATCTGCCTATTTTCTCTTTCATCATATATTATTTTTCTCTTATAGGCGACGAATGGTGGGACCTTTGTGCTGGACCTCATGTTGACTCTACTGGAAATATCAATAAGAAAGCAGTTGAACTTGAGTCTATTGCTGGAGCATACTGGAGAGGAGATGAAAGAAAACCAATGCTTCAAAGGATATATGGTACTGCATGGGAGAATGAAGAGCAGTTAAAAGCTTACCTTACTTTCAAAGAGGAAGCTAAGCGTCGAGATCACAGGCGCATAGGGCAAGATCTTGATTTGTTTTCTATACAGGTACAAGAAAGGGTGCTGCTGTGTTCAGGTTTCCTTTCATTATTCTTATTTCAGGGTAAATAACTTTGCTATATTCATGCAGGATGATGCTGGTGGGGGTTTAGTTTTCTGGCACCCGAAGGGAGCTATTGTCAGACACATAATTGAAGATTTCTGGAAAAAAATTCACTTGAAGTGTGGCTATGATCTGCTGTACACACCACATGTGGCAAAAGCTGATCTTTGGAAGATCAGTGGCCATTTAGACTTCTACAAAGAAAATATGTATGATAAGATGGACGTTGAAGATGAGCTTTATCAGCTCCGACCAATGAATTGTCCTTATCATATTTTGGTGTACAAAAGCAAACTTCATTCCTATCGCGATTTCCCTATTAGGGTGGCAGAATTGGGAACTGTTTATAGATATGAACTGTCTGGAAGTTTACATGGCCTTTTCCGTGTCAGAGGTTTCACACAGGTTTGCATAAAATTTGTTCTTAACATCAACTTCTACATCATAGACTGTCAGCCTTGGTTCATTGGTGTGGTTGCACACTTTGAACTGTCCTGAAGAGTGACAATTGCAAAAGATGAAGCCACCCTTTTTTATTTTCCTCTAAAGTATTCAAGAAATTGCTACCTTGGATTTCTAATTTTTTTTTCGCACATTGCATGTTGATATAATGGTTTTTGTTTGACTTCAATTTCCTTCTCTACAGGATGACGCACATATATTTTGCTTAGATGACCAGATTAAAGATGAGATCAGAGGGGTCCTAGATCTTACTGAACAAATATTGTTGCAGTTTGGTTTTGACAAGTACGAAGTAAATTTATCTACAAGGCCTGAAAAGGCTGTGGGAGATGATGATATATGGGAGAAAGCTACCACTGCTTTGGAAGATGCTTTGGATGATAAAGGTTGGAGTTATCAAATTGATGATGGAGGAGGTGCCTTTTACGGGCCAAAGATTGATATCAAGATTGAGGATGCTCTTGGTCGGAAGTGGCAGTGCTCAACCATACAGGCAATTTTCTTGACCTCATAAATTTTTCAATATAAAAGGCACATATTTGCCTTTGCCCAATAGCTTAATGTTTTAGGAGATTTTGTCTTAAACAGATGACTTTTCCTGTTTTGGGAAGTCTTCTTTTTAGCCTTTTTTTACTAGTTCTGGATGAACTTATGAAAGCTTAGAAAACTCATATAAACTACTTTTGGGTTCCGGCTCATGAAAATAAGCTGTTATAATAAAAGCTAGAAACAGCTTAGTGATTACTGTTGCAATTATAGTTATAGTAAAGTTATTTACTTAGTTATCAAAATTTGTTGTCTATCCAAATGGGGCCATATATTAGAGTTTATGTAACCAATTTGTCAGGAATATTCTGCACTTCCCCGCCCATTTAAACTAGGTACATTTGGTCTCTGCATTTTCCATGCTTTTAAGCCCAAAGAATTTTCCATGAATTGGGGAAGTTGCAGGTATAAAATAAACTATTCACATACCTGCATGGGTTACCTTATCCTTTCTCTTATATATCTCAACTCATCAAGGGGTGCAAACTTGTGGCTCTATGGTTTATTTCTTGAATATTGGTTGCCTTGTCTTGAATGGATCAATTTGCAGGGAACTATTTTGCTCTTGGCTTGACTTAAAGTTCATTTTAACTTAAAACAGGTTGATTTCAATCTACCACAGCGTTTTGACATCACATATGTTGACTCAAATACTGAGAAAAGAAGGCCTATCATGATCCATAGAGCAGTGCTTGGATCATTGGAAAGATTCTTTGGTGTTCTCATTGAGCATTATGCTGGTGATTTTCCATTATGGCTTTCTCCAATACAAGCTCGAGTTTTACCTGTTACTGATGCCCAGGTAACATAAAGTTTGACTATTAAGAAATCTTTGGTCTATTCTACGTACTGATCATATTTTATTGCAGTATGTACATTATACGCATTATTAGCATGTATCTTTATCTTTTAGAAGCTTTCTTAGATTTCAGGATTTCACAGACAAGTTGAGAATTCTCGATATTAATTTACCAACTTCAGAGGGAGTTTTGTAAATAGAGGATTATTAGGACAAAAATATCTTCCATATTTGCTTAGAAATTGAGTATCTTCCTATTAATTTTGCACATTTTTATTTCCTTATTTTAGAGAGTTTGGTTGTTACAAATAGAGGTGATGAGAGTGTAGTTTGTGTGATTGGTATCAATAAAATAATTATTTATTTTCTTATATAGTTCAAGTAAAATTTGAGTAATTTACATACTAAGACCTCCTGAGGCTTTCTCGAGTTACATTGACACTTTAATTTTTTAAAAACATTACAGTTACACCGTGATAAGGGAGGCCATTGAAATGGTGAAAAAAAGTAGGGGGTGTCATTGTAATTTATGGCATTTTTGCTAAACGTCCAGCAGAGCTATTCAAGAAGAGCAATTTGAGGGTGGAATGAGGAGGCTCAAAGGTTATTGCATTGCAGACCCTTGTGGTAATAATGAAGAACTTACCATAGTTAGTGACTCCTAATTTTAAATTACGATTTGAGGTGGAGATCGATTATGTAGGAAGACAATTGGCACATAAAGTTATGTATTTATGAATAGGAAAATACAAAGAGATGGACGTAAACACATTATATCTAACAAGAAGTAAAGAAAGACTGATCAAAAGGCTTTAAAGTACTAGTTAGAGAAGTGTGTTCTTGATGGGGGGACTACATAAAATAGGTTCCTAAATTACTAGAGTACTATTTTTAGATACAAAACAATTCTGTTTTGCATTTTCTTTGTAATTGTTTTTTGTTTATTGCAAGTCAGTTGTCGATGGGTGTATGTAAGGATTGTGTTTGAGTTTTTCTATCAATATTTTGTTCCTATCAGATTTACAATGAGACGCATTTGTTAGTTAATTTATAAGTATCTTCACTTTTGTTTATAGATACTGAAGTGTGTTTATGGGGCTATCAAGTTCCTAACAGGAGAGATTGTTTCTTTTCTAGATACGATAACAGACAATGATAAGTGAATTAATGGGGAATGTTTTTCTATATTATATCTTCTCATGCAGCTTGAATATTGCAATGGTGTAGCCAACAAACTGAAAATGTACGGAATCCGAGTTGAAGTTTGCCATGGAGAGCGCCTACCTAAACTCATAAGAAATGCAGAGAAGCAGAAAATTCCTTTGATGGCTGTTGTGGGTTCAAAGGAAGTTGAAACAGAAACAGTGACAGTTAGATCTAGGTTTGGTGGGGAGCTTGGGACTATGTCTGTTGATGACTTTATTAATAGAATAAAGTTGGCATCAGAAAACCCTATATCATAATGAGACTATTTTAATAGGAAAAAGATGGTCCTCTTATTGTTTATGTATGTGGAAAAGATCGGCAGTGATGAACATTTGCGACAACATACTTTGTATATCATTAGATAATTATTGAATCAGCAGGACCGTTTACATTGAAGAACAAAAGGCTCTGGCTTTTCGACTAGGGAATCTAGGTTTTGATACAACAACATATTCACATTTGTTGCATCCTTTTCGGATCACTTTTACTTGTAACCTTGAACTAATTTTTTTGTCAACTTTTGAATACAATTTACGATAAACCTGCTTACAAGTTGTTTTAGTGAGCCAGTTAAAGGAATCTAACAAAGAATTAGTTCAAATTTCAATAAATTAGATCTACAAATTAGTAGTCTTCAATTGGTATACATTTTACATGTAATTATTCTTGAGGAAATTCAAAAAATAGAATGAACCAAATAGGAATCACAAAAAATGAATTCGTCGTTATGTTATTGATTGAACTAGTTCAGATTTTCAACAAAAAATAAAAATTTCGGTGACTTGATAATATTTTTTTTAACTTGAATAAAAGATGGAATAATATGTAAATATTTATCTGTCTTTAAGTTCATACCTTTATTTTTTTTTAAATTACTAAAACATTTTCATAATTTATCAAATTTATATTAATTTGTCTCTTAATCTTTATTTTTGGAATTTATTTTTAAAACACATATTTATCATTTTTATTTATTCTATAATTATTTAACTTTTATGTAATTGTTATAGCTTAGTTTTATTTTTTTTCATATAATTCCAAATGGTGTTTATATATATTATTTATAGTGAAAACATGTGTAAGTATACATGTATTTATATTTTTATTATATTAGAATATATATATATATATATATATATATATATATATAATTGTATTATTTGTATGAATAATTATTTAAAAGGTAAAACAAATATAATTTAAAACATATATGTATAATTTTATAAAATAGTATTAAAAAATTATGCAATCGCTATTTTAAAAAGATATTCAATTATTTTAAAATAAAAGTAATTAAATAAATTATCTTTTGTTAAAATGTTATAATTTTGATCAAATTTTTAAGATATATATTTTTAATTTATATAGTTTATTTAAAAATTTAGAAATTCTGAAACTCTGAAGTTATTAAACTTAATAATCCTGAAATTTGAAAACCCTAAACTCTAAAAGTAAAATCTTGAAATCTTAAAACTTTGAAATCTTGAAATCTTGAAATCATGTAGTTCTATAAACTCTAAAACACTAAAATCCTGAAACACCAAAATCCTAAAATTCTAAAACTCCGAAACACTGAAACTTTGAAACCTCAAAACTTTTTGAAACATTGAAATCCTGAAATTCTAAACCCTAAATCCTAAATGTAAAATTTGAAAACTCTGAAGTATTGAAACTCTGAAATTCTAAACTCTAAACCCTAAACATAAAACCCTGAAGCCCTCAAATCTTGAAATCTTGAAGCCCAGAAACCATGAAACCTTGAAACCCTGAAATCTCGAAATGTTGAAACCACGAAATCATGAATCTTTAAAATCCTAAAATATAAACTGTAAATGTAAAATCCTAAAACCCTTAAAACTTGAAACTCTGAAATCCTGAAACCTCGAAACCCCGAATCCTCAAAATCCTAAACCCTAAACATAAAACCCTAAAATCCTGAAACCTTGAAAACTTCAAACCCTAAATCTGTGAAAACTTAAAACCACAAAACCTCAAAACCTTGAAATACCGAAATCTTGAAACCCCAAAATCCTGAATCTTTGAAATCCTAAAATCTAAATCCTAAACATAAAACTCTGAAAATCTAAAAATCCTAAATTTTCAAAACTTTAAATCTTGAAAACTCTAAATCTTAAACCCTAACTGAACCTTCACATTTTGAAACCCTTAATAGACAATATATTATATAAAATTAAAAGAAAAGAAAATGAAGAATTTTTTAAAATCAAGAATCATAAATTTAAAATTAAAAACAAACAAGAGCAAAGTGTTTGAACATTTTTTTTTCGGAGCCACGGTCACAAACAAGAGTGGGTGGGAGTTTGAATATTGTTTTTTCTTTTTTCTGCAAATACAGAAAATTATGAAAGTTTGAATAGTATAATAGTTACCGTTAGGCGTGAGTGGGTAGGAAAATAAAAAATGGGAAAAAAGTAGTGGGTTGCCCAAAGCTTGATTTTGAAATTCAAACATGGCGAAGGGACCCACTTGCAGAGAGTAAATTGAAATAAAAATCTAGTATTTACCCAATTCATTATCATGCGTACCTGTTAGATCCTCCCAGTGTTGTGTTCGAAGATTGCCATGGTTGTTTTGCCTGTTTCCTAATTTAAGCTGTCCAACAACAATTCCAGGAACGATGAAGAAGACGAACGCTTTGTCGGTCTCAACCACACGCACTTACAGTTCTCTCTACTTCAATCCTCTGAACCACCCCAGCCACTGCCGAAGCTCCAGCACTGACTGTGTCAGAAAATCTCAGTTTGAATTTGAAGATGAACACCCCGACAAGGAAAACCACAATGTCAATGTCAACAAGCCCAAGCCTTTCAGGTCTCTCTCCACTGACAGAATCTTGAAGCCCTCCTCGCTTGAATTCTGCATGCAGATGAACCACTTTCAAACCTCCCTCAACATCTGGGACTACTCTGATTCTGAGTCTGCTCCTGCTTCCTCCTGGTCCACACTGCCCAACAAGTCTCTCTCTCATAATCTCTCTCTCTCTCTCTCTCTCTCATCTTTCCTTTTCATTTTCCACTCTCATCTTCACCTTATTTAACTAGTTTCGACAATGTCCAGGTCCTTGATCTGTAGACCCTTGCCCTTAGATGTTGGAAGGTGCACATGTTTTATTCTCAAGGAGCAAACGCCACATGGACTGTCAGGGGGCACTTTCTTCTCTCTTTATACCAATGTAATTCAACTCAACTCAATTCAATTCGACTCTTCTGCTCATAATCATTTCTTTAGACTAATGAATAAGTATATTGTTATGTATGATTGTGTATGTGGTGGTAATGAATTAGTATATTGTTATGTATGGTCATTGCATTTTTTAGTTGCTGCTTCTCACTTGGGCAACACCATTATAGGAAGGCCAGGGACGGCAGAACAGGAAACTGGCCGTGGCCCACCACAAACGGCGGAATGGGAGGTCTTACTTCACCGTAGCTCAGAGTGTAAAAGGATTACTCTCCCATTCTGATGATACTTTTCTTGGCACAGTAACAGCTAACCTCATAGGCTCAAAATACTACATTTGGGATCAGGTTCCTTTTTCTCTTTTAATTTACCTTTTGTCTATTTTCTAAACTCATGCTAGTGTTTGTCAGTAGTAGAAGATGTTTGCCGAATTAGTGTTAATTTCAACCATCATCCTCTGTTTGATTGTTAGGCGTATCGTCGTAATTCCGGCGGTAAACAACCAAAGCCACCTCTTGCTGTTGTGACGTAAGTCAGTATCTTTTTCATCTTTCTCCATCCCCCCACCAACTCTCATTATCCTCTGCCTAAGTTCAACACTTGGATGATCATGCAGCTATATACCCACCATAACAACGTGTACAGGAAGTCACAGAAGCATGAGAGCATATGTACCCAAGCATCAATGCATGCCACTCAAGAACACAAACCAGGTTAACTATGAATGTTCTATAATGTGTTAGGTTTGAATATTCCATCTTGGATTCACATCTAAATGCTATTATTTACAGTTGGATTAGGTTTCAATATTCAAGTTCCAATTTTGTAAAAATGGGGTTATTTTGGTACAGGTACAGCATATAAAGGGATTGCCAATGAATTGGGACGGAAAGCTGGACAAAGTCCATCAACTGTTCTCAAAGGCCCCACTTTACAACAAGGTAGGAGGAGCCTGAAAGGGTAGATTCTTTGTATCTACAATCAGACTTGCTTAATTTTTTCATTGGTTTTTCAGATTTCAAAACAATATGAGCTTGACTTCAGAGATAAAGGAAAGGCAGGACTCAAAATCCAAAGATCAGTTAAAAATTTCCAGCTAACTTTAGAGGTATGTTAAGAGTATTCGGACCTTCTGTTGGTGGTGAATCATATAATTAGAACTAAATGCTGGGCATAGTGTGTGTGTTTTGTTCCCTAAATCATTTTTTTTGTACTGTGATCAGGAGAATGGGAGTCAGACGATACTGCAGCTGGGGAGGGCAGGAAAATCAAAATTCGTCATGGACTACAGGTATCACTGAAGCAATGCATAACTCAAAACCATTTTGTTATAATAACCTAAATTTTAGGATTGGTTTGACAGCAATTACATTTTCCTCTGCGCCTCTCCAACTCTGCAGGTACCCTTTGACAGGTTACCAGGCGTTTTGCATGTGTTTAGCTTCCATGGATGCAAAGCTCTGTTGCACAGTGTAATGGGGAATTTCTGTTACCAAACTTGGTTCAATCTCTGAACTGCTACGCAAACAAACACAAGTAGTTAACAGACCGTGTCAGATGGTGTCGTTTTCGAAGGAAATTGAATATTTTGCCGGATTTGTTGTGTATTTGGTGTCTCCAAGATTCAACTCGGAAGACAAAGATACCAAGTCATCAAATCTCCCAACAAAAGATTCCAATTTATAAATCGTTGTAGTCCCACTTTCAAGTGTTCTGAACATGCCTAACTTTGTCTCTGAAGCATTTATGATTTATGTAATCAAATGCTGAAAATCCTTGTCTCTGATGCTTGTTCACTTCTCTGCTTTCATGTGTTATTCTGAATTTGGCTAACTTTGTTTCACGTATAATCCAAACCAAGCAGTTGCCTGAGTTCAAAATTAACATGCTCTATGTTTTGAAAATCTTAAATTGAAGGTGAAAGGGAGAGGCTTACATTCCATTTAGTTTAACCATAATTAATAAGAATAAGAATGGATAGAAGAAGAAAGAGATGAAAAATAGCAATAGAAAAGAATGGGGAGGAGGAAGATAAATGTTTAAGTTAAAGAATGAATGTATGCATGCAATTATATAAGCAAAGGAACCAATAGAAATCGTTGTTGAAATTAATAATTAAGCATTAAGGTCACAATGAAAAATTGGTGAAGCAATGGAGGTCAAGTCGCCAAATATAATGTCATCAGTGTCTGTGTAGATTCCAGCTGAATCTTGAGTTTCAAACAAAGTTTGAATATCTTCGGGGAATGTGCGAGGAGGACGAGGAGGAAGGTTTGAGGTGGAGGGTGAAGAAGGTGGCGGCGGCGGCGGAGGGCCCAATGTTGAGGTGGCATTTCGAGATTCAGGTCCAGATGGTATTGGGCTTGGGCTGTCATCGTGGGCTTGAAGTTGAGGTTGAGATTGGTCTTTTGGACGTAGCCATTTCATATAACGACTGAGGTCAAAGTTGGTAACAGCATTAAGTCCACGGTATTCTATGGCCGCCATATCGTATGCCACTGCTGCTTCTTCTTCTGTACCTGCATTGCATAGAGTAAAAATTCAGATTATTTAATTAAAAAAAATATATTTCTATAATTTATTTATTGCAGTTAATATTTATTTATTTAATTGTTTGTTTTATAAGTTGTACTTAGCAGCTCCTTAAAAATGTTTGAAAGAAATAGACAATATTTAAGTAGCCTTAATGAGCAGTTGAGTTTGGTGATCTACTTCTTAACTACCTATATTCGATTGCACATTTCCATCATTTTCATTGTCTTGTTGATTTGACCTGTTGGGTCCCACGTTGGAGGAAGCCTGTCAAATGGATTCATGTACATTCGTGTCCTTCTTTAAGATTGTCTTCTTTGTTTGTCATGCATGTTTAGGGAAACACACACTATCATTAAAATGTTTTAAGAAAATATTTAGTAATAATTTAAAATGTCAACTGAAAGGAGTGCTTCCATTTCTTTAAAAGTAAATAAAACAAACTATGAATATAAAAGTATTATTAATAATTTGTATTAAATTATAGACGTCATATATTCTATAATTGATTTTTGAATTTTAAATATTCTTTAGCTTTTACTATTTGTACATACCTCGTTGTGTTATTACTAATAATTTCAATAATTTTCATAAACAGAATATCATTGCATGCAATCTTTATACACTCTTCCCGTTTTAAAGTATAGTTTTATTTAGCCTTTAAAAACATTTTGAACTCGTAGATATTTTCAATCAAAAATACACTTAGAATATTTTCAACCAAATACTATTAATTTTTGTCCTTAATTTGTTCAATAAATTATATCATTAGTTTGATAAAACCATTTCTGTTTTTTATTCACGTGAAAAAAAAATTACAATTATTTTGGGATGGAAGAAAGGATATTTTATCTTTAAAAAATTAATTGTTGAGTACCAATGCATTCAATTAAAAAAATAATATATATATATATATATATTTCCTCTTTAAGAAACGACCATTTGTCTTATCTTTATTCGAAGCAAAAACTAAAAGAGTCCAATTTTGTCAACTCATGACAAAAAATAACAATGCTAGCAATGAGTAAGACAATAAATTCTAAACAAATATATGCATGTGGTTTATAATTTTGAACAATTTGTACTGATAAATAGTAATTATTAATATATTTTAGTTTATCAATTTCTTTATCAACTGAATTTACCCTAAAAGAAGGAAGAGAACCTTAATGATAGCAATGGAAGAATGCAAGGAAAATTACCGTATGTTCCAAGGTATAGATATTTATTGCCGAAGACTCTGCCAATTCGTGCTTCCCATCTTCCATTATGATGGTGTCTATAAATTGGTGACAACAAACATTTCAGACTAATTTTCAACTTATTATTCAAGATAATTTAAATAATTCCACGACATCTTTTCTACCTTTTATTTATTATATTTTGCTTATAAAAGAGTATGGGAAATATGTGTAAGTGAATAAAAAGATTAATTATTCGGGAAAAATGGGCACTGTGTGATCCATTCACTCCATTAATGATCATTATTAAGAACCGAACTTGTGGATGGAAAGAACGACAGAGGGATGAAAGAAGCTACACACATCCACACCAACGACCTATCCTACAGATAATGCTTTGCAGAATATTGGGTCCTTCGTTGCACCCATAACTTCTTTTATTCAACACAATATGACCCACAAAAATTCAATGTGTCTCCAATTCCTTTTACTTTTCTAAAAGGAAGTAAATCAAATATCGGTTGGAAGTTCCACGGCAATCAATCGGAGTATAAATGAGTGCAAATCTATTTTATAAATTGGTTTTGTAAGGTTAATTTAGATTTAATAAAGTATCAGAGCTATAATATATTCTAATTATATCGATTATTTATTGGTTATATTGTTCATTCTATCTAACTTATACCTTGCTACGCCTCTGAATTTTGAGACGCCCCGAGAGAAGCCGCTACTTTTTCTGCAAATCAAAAATTAATTCATGGTGGAACAGTAAGACTACACACAAATCAGTGATAAGGAAAAACCTTCTTAAGGATCCGATGTACTCTTCCTTAGATTGATCCTCCATCTCCTTAAGCTGTTCTTCATAATTTGATAGCTATATACGTAGAATGAACAGTGCATTTTTATCATAATATATATAATTATTAATGAAGCAACGAAAGTTCGTCTGAAGGATTCAACGAAAAGATTTACAGGGAAATTGAGGACGGTTTCCGGACCCCAATACTTCAATGCTGCCAAATCGTAAGCACGTGCCGCAGCATCTTCATCGTCGTATGCTCCTGCAACAAACAAATCACGCACTCGTTCATTATTCCAATGACTATTGGTGAAAATTATATATTTATTATATTACGTACCCAGATACACTGCAGTGCCGTTTCAATTTCCACCGCCGTCGATCCACCGTGAACCGAGAAGATCAAAATCAAGAATGAGAGATGAAATTGGTAATAATTTTACAGGAACGGAGAAAAATTAAAGAACCTTGTCTTCCTTTCTTGTTCTGCGATTGATTCCAGGAAGTTTTATCCCAGAGATGAGCCTCGAATCGACCTGTCCATCGATGCCTGAATGAATACACATTGAGTGATGATTTTTCAATCTTAGAAAATGGATTCGAAGATCGAAAAAGAATGAATGAATGGACCTGGTAACACCCCTGTAGGGTGAGGTTCGTGGCAAGGGAGTGTCTCTTGGAATGGTTTTGCGTGGGCGCTTCTTCTTGAGCATGGGAGAGTCGACGCAGAGGGTTTTGTGTGAGGTTTTGGCAGCCATTGAAGCTCATAAGAAGAGAAAAGCGAAGAGATTTAGCAAGAGAGTGACAAAGAACACTGATGTCATAAAATATGAAACAACTTTCGAAAGAAACAGTTGGAAGTTGAGGAGTCAGTGAGTCAGTGTTTATCATTACCACATTTATCATTATTTAATAATAATAACATTAATAATTTCGAAAATATAATAACCGGCCGGCCACAAATCAAAAACATTGTTTTATTACGTCGCCGTCTTTAGGCTGCCTCCGCTGTAAAGTAAATCCATTTCCTCGATTATATATTTTCAAACAAAAACTATATTATGTTTCATTTCACTGAATTATTATTAAGTTAAATGATTGATAAAATAAAAATGTATTATTCACTGATGTAAAAATTAAATTTTGAAAATATTTGATGAGGCAGATGTGGTGATTTGTATCTCCTAAGCAAATGGAGATTGGAAGTAAGTTAGAAAAAGAGGGAACATAAAGATGGAAAATGATACTTGAACAACCATTTTTGACAACATTTAGACACGCGCACACGTGTCAAAATCTGAGTGGTCCAGTTGGAAAAATTAAATGAAAATGGACCACTCAGATTTTGACACGTGTGTGCGTGTCTAAATGTTGTCAAAAATGGTTGTTCAAGTGTCATTTTCCCATAAAGATAGGTTTTGATGAGGAAGAGTTAAAAGAGTGAGAGTGAAATAATTAATAATGAAGGATAAGATTGAGATGATGGATAGAAACAAAGGTTGTTGGATGGTATTGATATAAAAATATAGCATGAATAAATACCAAATACAATGGTTAATTCGGCAGGAGGTATTTTATCGTTGTGGGATAAGGATGTTTTTGAGATAAAACAGTTTATTTTCTTGGTGATGGTTAATGTTTATCCACCAATTCCTTAATCTCTATTTTTTTAAGAGAAAGAAATAAAAAGAGCAAGAGTAATTATATTTATATTATAAACCAATCAATTATATGATGAGTATGTTTCTCTTACGAATAAACCTTATGCAAAATGTTCTAATATAAAATATAATTAATTATGTTTTTATTTCTAAACTATTAAATGTTTTTAGTTTTAATTCATCTTTCAAGTTCTACCTAGATCTTCGTTCATTTTGAAATTCATAAATTTAGTTCTCTATGACCGATCGTTAGTGTTTATTGACGTGACAATCTAATAATCATCATTTTGAATTATTAATGAATAGTCGATATTTGCAAGTTGAATACTTTTATCCACTCATAAATAAACAAATAATTAAATATCCATATATGTATTCATTACATCCGGTGTCTTTTATATAGATTCATTTAATATTCATCATAAATTAGTGATGAATATTCATATATATATAAATACTTTAGTGATTCTTAAATAGGAGTAAATTATATTTATCGAAAGTATATACTAAGATGTCAAAATTTGATGGATTAGGTTGATATTTTAACTTATTAATTTATTTTGGTGGATGTGAGTAGATTAGGTTTGGCTGATCTACTAGACTTTTTAAAAACAAAATTAAAAATTAAAATAACAATAGTTTAAAAGAATAAGCTATTTGTATTATAATATTATTTAAATATATGTAAGTACGTAATAATATTATAACAAAGGATTATAATTTATAAATTAAGTTTGAATTATTAGTTATAATATAATAATTTAATATTTAAAGATAATAATTATTTTAATTTATTTAATAAAATATATTAATTAATTAATTAAAAATTTTAAAAACAATATTTATATAACTAAATATACTTTATATATATATATATATATATATATATATATATATATATAAAGAAATTTTATAAATATAAAAATAAAAAACACAAAAAATTAAAATTAAGATTTTTAACCTATTTTATTATGTCAGTCAACTCCACCCAGTTTTTCATAAGCCATTAATGAATCAAATTGATCCATTTATTACACATAATCAATTGATGGTAATTAGTAATTATTACAACCAAACTTGAGCACCAAGCTGAACATATGTAGTTTCTCTCAAGGACTGCAGCTAAGCAACCTTAATTCCCTTTTAGAATATAAATAAAATGACTTGATTTAATTTCTTTACTTCATTATGCTTCACAACAATTAGATACAATTATGTATTCTTGAAATAACTAGGGATTGGTTGAAATGACTATTTTTATATATATGAAGTGAAATAATGTAATTATTATTCATAAAATAGATACAATTCGAAATAAGGAATACATTAAATGAATTTGTTATCAATGAATATAAAGTTATAATAACTAGGACTATATTTCTAACACCAAACAAGAAAACAAAGGAGCATGAAAAAAAAATGCAATGTGTTATGTTTTATCAATTATAAACTAATAAGATGCAAAAGAAATATAAAACATTACAATAACATTATTGCAACATGTTTATATTTTCTTTATCAATTTTTATGAAGAACAAATCAAAACGACATAGATCAATCTGCATTTATCTTTTTCCATTGAGTGCTAAAATTCCAATTCCATCATGCTGTAAATTTTTTTAAGAAGTTACACTTCCATGTCAAAAATAATTTTATTTTCTTATTCAAATAAAACATTTTAAAAACTTCATAAATTATTTTAAAGTGTGCTTTACCAACTGTGCTTAAAAAGAAAAAATCGCAAATGTCAAGTGATAATTATGTAACTACGTATAATTGGCATCAATCTAAAATGTAAATATAATTAATAATCTCAACAGATGCTCGGACATGGCTATGATATTCATACATAAATAAATATAACCTTACTATACCTTTCCTACTCCAAAATCTGTTTTCTTTCTACTTACCACTGAGAAACTTTTGAGATAATAATGTATGACTAAGTTCACTACTCGCCAAGGGCACAAGGAATACATGGAGGGTCTTTGGATTGGTCGCAAGGGGTTATTCGCTCCAAACAATACTCATGAAAGGTGTGGCCACATGATAGGACAGCAACAGAAGGCGATGCAGGTGGAAGGGAAATAGGCCCTTCTGGTTCGTAGGAGAGATCCCTCTTGCACAAAAAGCACTTATAACCAATTGGTTCTGGCGTTTGATCTGAACCAGAAGAAAGCTAACACATTATTAGTACATTCTGCGAACATAATACTCAACAAAATCCATCTTTACAAAGGCAACAACTTTTGCTAATTCTTTCACTGTTAAATTGATATTCATAGATAAATGATGAGCTTTAAAAGGAGCCAGAAGCACTTCATATATTTGATAGACCAGATTTTAAAAGAAAGGCAGAGATTTTGCCCACGACAGCCTATCTACAATTGACGTTATATGCCAAATAAAGTATAATGGACTTTAAGTAAAGAATATCAGAAGTCAAGGAACGAGTATCAGGCCTCATGAATTAAGGTTTAATTTTTGTATGAATTTCAGTGATCTCTCAGTTTCTTTTGATCCGGGATTCTCAGTTGGCGAAATTGTTGGCTTCAATGCAATTATATATATATATATATATATATATATATATATATATATATATATATTCTTTTGATCCGGGATACTGTGTGTGTGTTTAGGCCACACCTTTATGAATATACTCAATTTAAACAACCCTACCGGCAAAGTGATTATCCTGGGATGCGTTTTAGGGAAAGGAATTACGATAAGAACAATTCGTGAAAAACAATTTTTTAATTGAGAACCTCACTGAAAATAAAATATAATAATCCTGCTCCCCTCATCAGAATAATGAACATATTTTCAATGCCTATTAAATGCACCAGTAAGGTAGATGCAAATGAACCTCAATATATGGTGAAGAAAACGCAAATAAATTAACTTCCTGAAATAAATTAACTTCCTTAAATCAAGGAGGACACAAGGAATTTGTTAAATACGCAGTAAGAAATAAAGAAGCTCCAAGTGATACCTTTAAATTTAATGTGATTGGAAGCAATTCTAGGAACAGCTGGTATAATTGAAGCCTTCAATCGCTTGTGAGCCAAAGCCTGAGCTAACAGTTGATGCTGATTAGATAGGTTTGTACGAGGTGATGTATAGGATGAGGGGTGGTGGAAAGATGAGACTCTCTTGTAATTAGGTGGGGGTAAAGGAGCTGCGTGCATTTTAGGAGGAATTGCCCGGGTTGTGTTTGGGGCTGGTAGAGCAGAATTAGTCCAAGTTGTTGGGAACAATGGAGGAACAACAGACTGAGTAGCTTGGGGCATGATAGATTGGGCTGGGTGGGCCAAGGGAGAAATTGCTCGGGATGTAATTGGGACTGATGGAGCCAATCTGGTCCTTGTTGGAATTGATGGATGTATGAACTGAGTTGGCATTGTCTTCCTGCGTTGATTCTGGACAGTGGATGACAGCGGTTGGGAAGCAGCTCTCTTTAGAGATGACATGATGGGTGACCTTGAAACTTGAGCAGTCATATTTCCACTTCCAGTTTGTATTCCTAGATCTGTAAAAGCTAGTTTATTGCTTCCATTGTATAAAAATAAAGAAATATCCAAATAGTGAGTGGATATAATTATATGTCGTTTAAGAAGGTAATCACCAGAAGTAGATTGTGGTTGAAGACGGGAGTTTGATTGATGAATAGAACCACCTGCCTGAGATTGGCCATGATAACCTACAAAATGAATCTTAATAAGTAAATAGCATTCGATCATTCACTCCATCTGCAATTTTCTAAAATCTACAGACATGCGATGTCTGTCTATATGCATCAAATGAAATGCTAACATTTGAAATAATCCTACATTACAATGATCAGGGCTCTTGTTATTGCTTGGTTATGCCACATTACATGGAAAGAAGGACCATGAGTAAACCAAGTAAAAAGGTTTGTATAAATCCATATGCTATTCCTTAAATGAGCAAGCAATACATTTAAATGAAGATCTTTCAACAAACATGAATAATACTAAATTAATAACTTGAAAATGTAGGTTGCAGAGTGTGTTTTAGGGATAGTTCAATTTGAGGTACTTCATAACTATCCATTTAAATTATTTCAAGCACAACAAAGAAACGAGTGGGCAAGAAACAGCAAGAGGTACCACCTGAGAAATTGGAGATGTGGTCCTTTCACAAGTTAACGATCCTGTTTATTTTACTTTTATTTATGTAAAAGATTTGGTCCTTTCACATGTTTAAAAAGACAACGCAGATATCAGTAGATACAGAAAACAACTCTAAATAAAAAAGATGAGTCTGGGTGAAGTGTTTAGTCACCGCAAATCGGTGGCAAATAATTTATCTAATTATCTCTGCTGAATAGATCAACAAGACAATAAAAGGAAGAATGTGGTCTACTGGAACATGAAAGATCAAGAGCCCAAAACTTCTATAAAAAAAGAGAAAGTAGCTTAAAAAATAACACTTTAAGAACGATACAAATCACCTGCTACATTTGAAATGGATTTTATGTGAACTAATAGAAAGCAAAGGAGCAAAAGACTAAATTCCATTATGTTTTAACAAAAACTGCTAAAGATGATCAAATATGTTTATGCTTATTAAGAATGATGTCAAATTTAAGGAGATTTCACTGAGGTATACCAAAGTTTATGAGCAGAAAATAAGGAATGAAGCAGTAAAACACATACTTGTAAGATCCTGCCCTCTGGTGCTTCTAGGGGCCATGGCTAACGAAGGAGTAGAGAAAACCTGTGACGTAAACTTATCATTATTTTTATGTAACAGCTCAGCGGGTAAGTTATCAGTTATCATTTTGCTTGAAGAGGGAAGTAGCTGACCATTCACATTGTTCTGTCCACTTTCAAAAGGCACAGTTTGACTGGCAACAACTGGCAATGAATTTAGATCCATGCATCTTTCAGGGCCAACATTGCGACCTATGTCTGTAAATTCCATACTTATGTCTTTCACACCTCCAAGACCTAAATTCCTACTGACCTGTCCTAAATAATGGTTTTGATCATCGGAGGCTGGCCTTTGAAAAGCGTATGAAGGTCCAAGACATAAACCAGGTCTAGAATCAAAAAGAGCTTCATGATTGATTGCAGGAGCTAAATCAGATATGATTTCTCTTTCATTATGAAAACCCGAAAAAGCAACATTTGTGTCTAAACCAGAATTTAAGGAGTCTCTGCTACCCTGTTGATTGTGATAAGTACTGATTGGAGGAAGAAATGCACTCTCAGGATGACAGGTCGAATTGAATTTTGGCATCTCAGCTCCTGATGTGAACTCATTGATATTACTTCCAGAACTAATGGTCCTAAATTTTTCATCATGTTTTCCAATTGCAAGCAATGGTTCTGCACCACCTTGATTTGGATTACAGAGTGTCATTCCCAGATTCATATCTAGTGAAGGTTGATCAATATTACCACTCATTGTTCTTCCCCTAGGATTAAACATTTGTGGCCTGGTGTTTAACCCATAACCTGGGGTCACATACATCCCACCACCATCAGGCTTCTCAAAGTTATTTAGATTGAAGACAGCATTCCTCACATTAGCAGGGATTGTTAGATTGTTGTGCCTATCATACTGATATGGCCACCCTATGTATCCTTCTGGACATGGATAACAAGAATTTGGTCTGCATGGAAGAAAATTATGTTCTTCTGCCCTGTGTGAGTAATTATGGTCCATCTGGAAATTCTGATAACTTCTGAACTGAGAGGAATCGTGTTCTTCTGTGCTGTGTGAGTAATTATGGTCCCTCTGAAAATTCTGACAACTTCTAAACTGAGAGGAATCATTCATTGAAGTTCCTCCAGCTGGTTCATTGCTAATAAACTGAGATGTTTCATTCAAATTCCAGTGGGCAAAAGGAGATGGTGAACCCACCGGCAGAAGGGCGGTTGTATCATTAGGACTCCTAGCACGATTAGCAGACTCAGTGTTCATTAAACTGAATCTGAGTTCTTCACTGAGTTCTTCACTGAGTTCTGTCATGGAGGCAGAAGAAAAGGGCATTTTATTCTTTCAATTGTCTAGTGAGGATAGTTCTGTCACGATAAAAGTGAGATAGAGAACAAGTAAATCCAGTTAATTAAAACTCATTCAACTTGAGGATAATCATACAATAGATGGTAGTGATTCTACAAAGCAAGCTAAGTTATTGACAGGATGAGGAAAGACAAATCTCGGATTCCTTTGAGCATGGACAAATATATTGAAATTAGCACAGCATACACAAGGAAACTGTCATTTCATGCACTCCCCAATATTGAAATAAACAAAGAGCAAAAGGCAAGCAGAGATACTAAACACTACAAAGAACTTGAAAGATGTAAACTTGAGCTAGAAAATATCAGTGGAAGAAAAATCTGCTGATATCGGGTAGGTGTAGTTTTCCTTCCCCCAATCAATTTATATAAACTCGTACCTCCCTAATTCAAAATCACTAATTGATTAATAATGAGCATGATGAAAAAGGTTAATCTAAGTGAGAAAATAACGATTCGGCTAAAGCGGATAACATAGAACTCCGAAAATGATAAAATTGCAAATCTAGAAGAAAAATATTAAAAAAAAAGGAGAAAAAAAAGGTGAAATGGAAGTGGTGAAGGATTGAAAAGAGAAAGATGAGAAGAATCCGAAAGACGAAGAAGAGAATGATAGAATGTTAGGGTTAGGGTTAGGGTTAGGGTTGGGAAAAAGACATACCAGTTGGGTTGGGTGTGGGGTGCTGGAATTGCGGTGAAGGTGGTAAGGTCGGATGAGACAGAGAGAAGAGAAATTGGGGGGTTTTGGCGCCCTAGTGAGGTAGACATTTTAAAGGGTTCGGTGTGGGGTCTACCAGTATCTGCACACGTGTTTCTTCCTCTCTCTCTCTCTCTACTTCACAATTCATATACTTCTTCCTCCATTGTCTCACCAAAACTATTATTACTAATATTAGCACTGCCATCTTTGTACTACAATACAACAAATTTAACATAGGTAAAAGAAATACTATAATAACATTTATTCGTTTTATTATTTAATATACCAATCAAATTAACATTGTCGTCATAATATACTTTTTTTTTAAAACATAAAAATACACTTGAAGCTGTTTTTACCTTTTTAATTTACTAAATTTATTTTTTCATTATATATTCATTTTTTTAATTACTTAAATCAAATTCTTATTAAAAAACTTGGGACTTAGAAGTTAATAAATGTATATCAAATTTTTTTAATCAATAATATTTAATTTTTCATCTATATACCTTTACATGTTAAAATATAAGATTTGTACAAAAATAAATGTTTACTAGGCGTGTTCTATAATCTTTAAGGAAAAAGAATATAATCTTTCAGTTTTATTTAAAAGAAAAAACTTAAAACAATTCCACTCCATTTTAATTAATTTTGGAGTTTTAAAGCATAGATTCTGACTTCAACAATTATAAAAATAAATTAATTTAAAATCAATTATCATTATTACTATTTTTTTTCAATTATGCACAACTCTTTATTTGACTACTATAAATAACTTGAATTTAATAATTTTTTAAAAACTAAAAACAAAATTATGATTAAATACTAACCAAATCTATTGTAACAATAATATTATTTTTAAGACATATACACTATTATAATATTACAACATTAAGAAAATCAAAATTTTAGAGATTTTTAAAATTCAAAGCACACACAAACTTTAAAATAAAGAACTTAAAATTAACTGAAACGTTTCAAAGTAATATTATTTATTACCAAGAATAAACGTATCTCTAAAATAAAATAAACAAAAGGTATTCTAAAGTGGTCCATTTAAAAAAAAAAGGTAAAAAAAATGTGAGATGGTTTATTTGTTCAGTTTCTCAAATATTTAATTCTTTAACTAATTATCTTTAAGTTGATTATGTAATTTATTTGAATCAAATTCACCTCGTTTTATGTCAACTTACTTAATATAATTTAGGATTTAAAATTATATTATTTAACTTCATCTAATATTCAATTATTAATTTTTTTTATTAAACTTTGTAATATATATATATATACATATACATATACATATACATATATATATATATATATATATATATATATATATATATATTAATTGAAATATATGGCTAATCATTTATGGTCATAAATAATCATTAAGAATCTAATAAGTTTCTAAATATGGGATGATGATGATGAGAGAAATGTAAATATAATTAATTAACACTGATGAACTTGAAGAAGACTCCAAGCAATACTTAATACATATACCCAAATGAAACTGAAGATAATTTAGAAGAAGGTGTTCTATCTTAGAGTATACAATCTCTTTATTTTTGGTGTAGACAGAACAGAACATTGATCATGTTGATGCAGAAGAAGGATTGAAAGGTGATTCCTTGCTGCAGATAGAGTTCATAGGTGCTGCTACAACAGTGGAAGGTGTTGGAGGAGATCGTTTAGTTTTTCCTGGACCCGGTTCGGGAGAATAACCCGGAGTTGGTGGTGGCGGTGGGTGTCGTCGTGGATGTCTGGGTGGCCTCAAATTCATCACTTTCACAGTTGACTCACCTGAAAATACCATGAACTAGTTGGATAACATGATAAACTTTTCTTACCATATTACATTATTTTCAGTTTAATTTCTCAGTTGTTATATATATGCAGCAATAGTATTGAATGATTAAGAAAGTAATACCCAGAGGTGCAGCTTGTGCAGGAGTAGAAGGAAACAGCAACAGCTGAAAAGCAAAGATAGAAAGTATGAGAACATGGAGACCATTCATCTTTCTTACCTTAAAAGTTGATGCTTCTTCACATTTTTCTGACATACCTTATATACACTCACCACACTCACAACATGACAATTCACACACATATTATATGGAAGCAGTTCATGGGTCCAACTCACATTACCAAAGATGCATTCCCATTTGCTACTTTGCATCAGAAGCAATTTTTAACCAAATTTGTTAATCATTTCAAAAATCTAACTATTTCCTACATTATATACTGGACAGGTGTAATCCTTAAAAAAATAATAATAGATGTGTTATAAAAAATATATATTTTGATATAAACAAATTTTTTAAATTCATTTTTGACGGTACTCTTTATTACTTTTTTTTCTCTTGCTTTCTTTTTTTATATAATTAATACTTTAACATATATAAATTTTTTATATTTATTTGATATTTTATTACTTTTTACTTTTTAAAAAAAATATATAAAAATTTATGTATTAAATGAATGTAATTATATTTCAAGTATTATTACTTTTTATATGATTTTTTATAATTATTTTATCTTTACAATATATTAAATGAAATGCTAATATATGTCACCGTACCGTTACTCTACAACAAAACCAAATAAAAAAATTACAATTATTCACTCACTTCCTTCTTTCTATTCTATAATATTATATAAAGGATTAGATGAAATCTAAAGAACAACTTAAAAGAATTGTTTCGTACAAGGTTGTTTGTTGGTCTGTCTGGCCTTCTTTAACGTGCATATAAAATTTGTCTAAAAGTGGTGACATATATATAGTATTTATTATGATGCAACAACGATGAGGTATTCAGTTATTTGTTTAGTGTATAATATGAATTGATACAAATATTTTCGTATTAAAGTTTGATTTCTTTATAAACCGTTATACGTATAGATAAAATATTTATCATTTTTGTCACGAGATTTTTATTACTTAATAAAACTTTCCTTTTTTAAATTATTTTTTGTTTATAAAATTTATATGTATTTGGGTCGAGATACACGCTTTCACAATTTAATATTATTTATTTGTATTTGGACACTTCTTAACGTCCTTCAATCCTTTGTCGTTCTCTCTTTGTCATCCAAAATCGTGGGTACCTACTAAAAATACTCAGACGCTTAAGTCAGTTTTTGTTACCGATCAGTTATAACATTTAGGTCTTAAATGGTCAATAAATACAATTACATATCTTCTTACTTTGCTTCCGTATTTATAGTTTTCGTATTGGGCCTTTGAACAGAGTTGACCCAATGTTGAGACCCAATCATGCTTAAACATGCTGGTTGAGCTTATATTAACTTTGTTAATATAATATATCTTTGACCGAACAGTTAATAGGATCGTATGAACCATTATATCGTTTTTGATCCGTTTGATATATCGGGTTGTGGTTATTTTGAGTTGTTGTTTATGTTATTGACCGAACTGTAAGATTGCACTGTTCGATATGTATAGCACAATATGTGACATTCAAATTAGACATTTTGACTTTCACACTCATAAGTAAAAAAATAATTATACTATGAATTTTAACTTTTGATATAGTGATAAATATTATCCAAAACATATAATTTATCCCATAATAAATATCAAATAAGACAAGTGAGGGTAGAATAAAAAAATTAAATCTAATTTTGTTATGCTTTTTTTTAATGATACACATGGAACAAATATTAATTAAGGTTGAAGATTATGTTTTGGTGTGGAAGATTAAAGATATAGCGTATTATTGAAAGGGTTGTGAATTATATTAAATATATGTCACATTCAAATTAAATTTAGAAAATATTTGAAGATGCCCCTCTCATATTGTGTGTATAGGAAAGGGTTGTAATGCATGTTATTAAAATGGCATCCCACGCATAAGCTTGGTGGTTTTTTTTGTTTTGGATTAGAAGAAGCAGGTAGTAAAGTAATAAATGACTATGCCACTATAAGTATATGCGATAAACAAACATGGCGTACCTCATCTATTAGGCAACCAAAACCTTTAACCATACTAAACAATGCAAATGTTCCTTAAACAAATCCTTTCTCGGCAATATACACTTGTGCCATATATAGTTAATCACCAAACACCAACATCGTTAGAACCACGTACAGACTTTTGCTTAGAATATATTGGACATATTTTTTCCTATACTAAAATTTGCATAAAAACTACATGGCTGATTTTATATATACCAATTTAAATTCTATTTGTAACATTTTCAAAATATATACTATTTTTTTTTATAAAATAAAGCTAAGAAGAGAGAAGAGGAAAGGAAGAACAAAAACAAAGGTAAATTCTCATTTTCTAGATATATATATTTTTAGAAAAAGTCTTATTTATAATTCAAAATATAATTCAAGAGTTACAAATAGTTAATACAAATAACTAAATTAATCATAAATAACAAATCAATAGACAATCATTTATCCATAATACAAATAGCTAAGCATCACTTTATTATGGTTTAGTTATGCATATGTTGAATACCATTTTCTAATGATTTAACCATACACCACCTTAAATGTTGAACAAAGTTAATTCTGGATCTTTCCATGAATGTCTTTTTGGAGCTCAACTTCATATTTATGGAGCATAGCGGCATCCTCTTTGATTTCTTGAGAAATGGTCACAAAATTATCCAAAATTCATCATTTTTCTATTTTTTTTCTTTTCTTTTTTGCTTATAATATTTCATTATATAATTACAAGCTAAAAAATTCTTTATTTACAAAATATGATCAATTAAAACATAATAAATATCAAATTTATATGAAAAGTTTTTCTATTCTAGACACTTATTCTTAGATCAAAAGCTATAATTGTTAATTAAGATACAACTCATTTTACTGAAAAGCGTAATAGTCAAACATCATAATTCGATTTTGATTCGGATTACTTTATCTCCATCACAAAACAATTAATATCACTCACAATATATATATATATATATATATATATATATATATATATATATATATATATATATAAACAAAAAA